GCTCTATTTTAAGATCTTGTTTCACACCCACCAAAACCCCATAAGAGGGTTAGTTTTCCTGGCATTAAGGAAAATTCCTCTATACCACCAGTGTCTTCAATGGGCTCACATTTTATAGGTAGTGAAAGGAAAAGAAAAGATTTGTGTTTAGCTGTGTCTTATCTTTTCATTATGGTCATGACAATCACTTAGATTTTCAAGATTTGTGTACACTTCATAATTTGTGTTCCATAGATAAGGGAGGTTACTCAGGTTTTAAAATCATGGGTAGAATACAGAGAGTGCCCAAAATTGAAGTCTTTTAGATTTAAGTCCAGTGACTATCATGTGCATAATAGGGGTGAAAAGCAGGAATTGTTTAAAAATTGTTTAGAATAGGATTTGGTAATGGAGAGACAGTGGAGAAGGTGAGAACGGGCACTCATAGTATGAACTACAGTATACAGTTGTGTCCAAAATTATTCAACCCCCACTGAAATTGAGTGTTTTGGCCAGTTTGACATTGCTTTTGATCATTCAGTCATCTTGCTTACATTTACATTAAAGAGGCACTTGTAGGTCAGACAAATATAACATAACAGTTATAATGAAATAACCACAAATGTCTTTTCTGTGCTCACAGCATTATCAGTTTTATTCAACCCCCAAGTGACATTCAATCTTAGTACTTAGTACAGCATCCTTTTACAGTTATAACAGCTTTTAAACGTGAAGCATAGCTTGACACAAGTGTCTTGCAGCGATCTACGGGTATCTTCGCCCATTCTTCATGGGCAAAGGCCTCCAGTTCAGTCACATTCTTAGGCTTGCGCACTGCAACTGCTTTCTTTAAGTCCCACCAGAGGTTCTCAATCGGATTTAAGTCTGGTGACTGCGATGGCCACTCCAAAATGTTCCAGCCTTTCCTCTGCAACCATGCTCTAGTGGACTTGGAGGTATGCTTGGGATCATTGTCCTGTTGAAAGGTCCAACGTCTCCCAAGCCTCAGGTGTGTGACGGACTGCATCACGTTTCCATCCAATATCTCCTGGTACTGAAGAGAATTCATGGTACCTTGCACACGCTGAAGCTTCCCTGTACCTGCAGAAGCAAAACAGCCCCAAAGCATGATTGACCCTCCACCATGCTTCACAGTAGGCAAGGTGTTCTTTTCATCATAGACCTTGTTCTTCCTCCTCCAAACATAGCGTTGATCCATGGGCCCAAACAGTTCTAATTTTGTTTCATCAGTCCACAGAACACTATCCCACAACTTTTGTGGTTTGTCCACATGGCTTTTGGCATACTGCAGTCGACTCTTCTTATTCTTTGGAGACAGCAAGGGGGTACGCCTGGGAGTTCTGGCACGGAGGCCTTCATTACGCAGTGTGCGTCTTATTGTCTGGGCTGAAACTTCTGTACCCACATCTGACAAATCTTTTCTCAGTTCCTCAGCAGTCACACGGGGACTTCTCTCCACTCTACGCTTCAGGTAGCGCACAGCAGTCGAAGTCAGCATCTTCTTTCTGCCACGACCAGGTAGCGTTTCAACAGTGCCCTTTGCCTTGAATTTGCGAATGATGCTTCCTAAGGTGTCTCTTGGTATGTTTAACATCTTTGCAATCTTCTTATAGCCATTGCCCTTCCTGTGAAGAGAAATCACCTCTTCTCTTGTCTTCCTGGACCATTCTCTTGCCTTCACCATGTTTGTAACCACACCAGTAAATGTCTAGAAGGAGCTGAGTATCACAGTCATTTTAAAGCTGCCTAATTGGTGCTTATTATGCTTGATTGCTGCTCGGTGACATCCACAGGTGTTTTCAATACCTGATGGAAAGCACCTGTATGAACCTCTGTTCTTCAGAGTGGTAGTCTTTAAGGGGTTGAATAATTGTGGCAATGAAGAAACCACATAAGAACCATTTACTACTGTATTACATAAACAATTGATGTCATTTTAGTTGCATTTGGGTAGTTACAACGTCCTTGTAGGATTTGATTCTGAATACAATTCCAAATGTACACTATAGTCCCTAAACCCCTTTACAGCATTGGGGGTTGAATAATTTTGGACACAACTGTAAGTGGACAGGAGAGAAAGATTTTGGATTCCCTTAAGGAGAATCCAACCATTACCATTAAAAATGCAGACAAAAGAGATGCTGTAGTAGTATTTTTATAAACATTTTTTTATTAGGTTTTTACGTAGAGAAAACAACATAAACATTAGTTACTGTGAAGACCACAGGGGGAGGCTTATTGGCCTTCACCAAGCGGTAGAGTTGGATATAGCATAATGACAATAAATCCAACATAAAGAAAAGACAATCAAACAACATAAAAGAGAATAAAGGGACGAGCAAGTGGTTTGTTCAGCATGTTAACAACAATTATGTACTGTTCTCTACTAATATTCTTAGGAGTGGAAACTTCTCAGCATATCATCAGCAATAAGTCATGGGGTAACTGCAAGCACACTAGATAGATTAATCCAGATGCGAATACCAGATAAATAAGGATTCTAGTTGGGTGAGGGTTTCAATGAACCAGAAGCTGTAATAAAAGGAGAGTCAAGAGTCTGTTCAAAGTCAGATATTTTAAGCTTGCCTAGGGAGTTGGAGAGGTCTGCTCTCAGATACTGGTCAGTATATCAGAAAGGTTGCATATGTGACATGAGCTCTGTATGGGAGAAAGAGTACTCCATATAGCGTCTTCATCTCACGAAGAAACGTGTTGTAGGCTGGAAGTTGAGTGTGATAGTGTTCAGCTTCTCCAATGTAAATAATGACAGCAGAGCTTTCTTAACAGTAATAAGGCATGGAGGTAATGGTTGTATCAAAGTCTGGAAAATTGCTCTACGGGCTACTAGTAAGCATATATGGGACCATTGTAGTATGTCCGTTGTGGTAGTAGATGAAATCTGTGTGCTCGGATCAACACAACTAAAGAGGCATATCAGTGGGTTTTTGGGTAGTTTTGTTGTATATACCTTTGCAATATAGGCTAATACTTTGTCCCAGAAGAGAGCAATAGTGGGACATTCCCACATGCGGTGTATAGAGGTGGTAGATGAAGGGAGCACCATGGACAGTTAGACTGGGAAGGGTCTCCTTTAACCATGCAGAAAGGGTAATATGCTTTGTGAATTAGTTTGAACCGAGTCTCTCACCAAGTTTCACAGATGATGAGGTGGCATATCTTCCGATATCCTGTTAGGAGCAGTTCAGGGGCATTATCCTGATAAAGAGTAGGCACTCACTATTGCAGCTGGGTAAGGTGATACTTAGTTGACTGATGTGTTATTAGATGAGTATATACTGTAAGTCAGAGATGGAATATCAATTATGTTGTAGCACCATTTCGACAAAGGAACTTCGCAAAGGGTCTTGTTTAGGATCATAGCTAGTCCAAAGATAGCTTAGTAAATGATGGTAGTGAAAGTTATGTGATGGAGGAAAGGCGTGCTCTTGAGAGAATTCCATGAAAGACTTGTATGTAGCTGGGTTGTTGAGGAAAATTTTTGTAACAGTAGTGAGCCCAGAAGAATGCCAATGGGCAAAGGCTTTGTGTTGAGTAGACTGGGGAAACAGGGTTTGTCTTGTATAGGTAAGTATCTGGATGGTAATCCTAAGAGTTTTTGTATCTCTCTCCAAGTTATGACTGTGTCCCTGATCAAGACGTTGGGGTTCAAATCAAGGCTTTGAAGGGAGAGTGCAGAACAAGCTGTTAGGTTGAATGAATGCACCAAGGCACTCTCAAGAGTGTGGTTAGTATATGGTGAGTTGCCCGAGAGCCAGTCTAGACCTTGTCTAAGCAAACAGGAAAGACTGTAGAACCTTATGGTTAGGCAGGCCTACACCTCTCACTCTTGGAGAGACACAGCTTCTGTAAAGCAATGCAAGCTTTTTTGTGATGCCATAAAAAGGCCAATAGGGCAGTATGGATTTTCTGTACATTTGAATGCTTCAGGAGAAGGATAGTTTGCATGAGGTAAAGCAAGCGTGCAAAAGATACCATTTTGAACAAGTGACAGCTTCTGAACAGTGATAGGGGCAAAGCTGTCCAAGCTTTCAACTCCTGCATAATCTTCGCTATTAAAAGAGGGTAGTTAGAATGATACAGGGAGGACGGTTCACGCTCAAACGTTATACATAGGTAAGTGATGGATTGCTTTGCAATGCTGAAAGGCAAAGAAGACCGCCACTTGACTGAGGCATGCTGATTTAAAATTAAAACTTCAGTTTTGTCAAAGTTGACCCATAGCCTGGAGCAGAATCAGAAGGTCACAAGTAGATTCTGGAGTATACTAAAATCCGTAGAAGAGTTTGAGGAAAATAATAAAATATTGTCCGCAAAAAAGGCAGTTCTAAAAACTTGACCACCAATAGATATACCGCTAACACCATTAAGTTAATTTAATATCCTGGACAGGGGTTCAATCGCAAGGTTGAAGAGAAGGGGGGATATTGGGCATCCCTGCCTCGTGCTTTTGGTTAAGGGGATAGGTGCTGATATGAAGTCTGGGGGGACCAAATGCACAGTGGGAAAGGTATACTTATTGTAGGAATTAAATTATGGGTCCCGAGAAGTCAAATTGCCGCATGACCATGAATAGCCAAGCAAAGCTATATTGTCAAAGGTCTTTTCGGCATCATGAGATATAAGGGCCATGTCATCGTCTGGATGGGATTTGGCAAACTCGAGCACCATAAGGACCTTTCGGAAGTTCAGTGTTGCTGAGCATCCTGGGACAAACCCTGATTGAGCTGGGTGTATGATAAGTGGAAGAAGTGCTGCTAGTTTAGATGCCACAATTTTAGAAAGGATTTTTGCATCTACGTTAATAAAGGAGATTGACCTATTTGATCCCGGTTGGAAAGGATCCCTTTTTTTTAGAAATGAGTTTGATATGAGCTTGAGCTCCTTGTCAAGGTCCTACCTTTTCCCTGAGGTTATGTTACTCCATGTGCTGGCGTCCATCTTGGATTCTGCTGTGCATGGTGGGAATCCTTTTATGCTTCAGGTCTCTGAGGTCCACCCCCCAGAGGGGCGTGGCTGATGACATATAAGCCTGTGGCCCGCACATGCTCTTTGCACTTGTGTCTTTGTATTGCTATTACTCTGTTCTGACTCTCGTGACTCTCCTTGTATCTGATTCGGCTTGTGACTTGACTATTCTTTGTATTCTCCTTTGATCTGACCCTCTGTTGCTGAACCCGGCTCGTGACCTGTGATTCTCGTCTGCTGTCCTGTACTGTTTTGTCCTGTTGTTGTTGACCCCAGCCTGTCTGACTACTCTTTTGTCTCTTCCACAAGCTACATGCCATTGGCGGCGGCCATTACCGCAGCTGAGGTGTTTCGGGGGCCGCGACCTGGTTCCTGGCTGCGTCAAGTCCATCCCCACCATCAGGGGCCCTGGTGAAGGGCAGCCTGGGACTTAGACTCCGCGCCCTGAGGGACTTCGGTCTGTGGGTGGTGGTTGTCGTCAGCCAGTGCGTTACATTGTTAGGCCTGCCTGCCCGTTCCTCGGCTCCTGCACTGACACTCCTGTAGGGAGGTATGGACCATGTCCCACATAGCTGTGAAGACATGATGTAACATGTCTGGGATGAATTCTTTAGTGAGCTTTTAAAATTCGGCTGTGAACCCATTTGGGCCATGCGCTTTGGCAGTAGGGAGTAGTTTGATGGTTGTTAATATGTCCTCTGGGGTAATGGGGTCATTTAGCAATTTAAGTTGAGGAGAAAGTTTAGGCAGATGCACTCTAGCCAACAGAGCGGTGGCAACATCTTCATCAATAAGGCCATCTGCGTAGAGAGATGAGTAATCAGTAATGCATTGATTTCCCAAGGCATGGTGGCAAGAGAGCCCGACTCAATTTTAAGAACAGCAATATAAGTGGGCATTCTGGGGCCTGAGCATAATTTGGCTAAGAGCTTGCCTGCCTTGTTACAAAACCTATAAAATTTGAGAGCAGAGTAAGATAATTTAGCTGCTTCCTGTTCTGCCCAGAAATCAAAGTTTTGTTTGGCATTGTGCCATGTTTGCCTGTTGGCTGAGGTGTGTTGATGTAAAAATGCTGGCTGCGCCTGTCTCAGGGATTCACTGGCCCATAGATGTTGTTGACAGGAATGTTTTTTTAAATTGGGTGGTGAATGAGATAATTTTACCACTGAGAAAAGCCTTGCCTGCTTCCCAGAATAGATTAGGGTTGGTCAGGTGAGCTCAATTGGTGGTAGCATATTCAGCTCATGCCTGATATAGTACATGTTTAAAATCTTCACTATTGGCAAGGTATGAGGGAAATCACCAGACTGATGGGTCACAGGATGGTTATAATCCAGACAGCTCCACCAAAATAGGGCTATGATCAGAGATCACAATATCTCCAATTTGTGAGTTATGCAGTGATGGGAAAAGCGCTGGAGAGCAAAAAAAATTGTCAATGCATGAGAGAGAATTATGTTGGGGCGAGAAAAAAGAGAACTCCCAGTCAGTAGGGTGAGTCAGGCGCCAAGTCTCAAGGAAATGCATGGAAGCAATAGATTTGGCTAGGATGGTGGGGGTAGATATGGAAGGGGTTCCTTCTGGGGACCTAATGGAGAGATGGCCAGAGCAGTCCTCGAAGGGGTCCATGACTGAGTTAAAATCTCCTCCTAGTAAGTGTAGGGATTTTGGAACTAGGAGTACTGAGGAAACCAATTTTTGAAAAAAGGAGGTGCTAGGATAGGTGTTAGCTTAGATGTTGGTGGCAGCTATGTCTCTAGAAGCAATTGTTAGGTGTAATGTTAACCTACGACCATCCAAATCAGTCTCCATGGATCTAGTAGAGTATCTGAGGCGTTTGTGAAGTAGAATGGCTACCCCAGCCTTAAGGCATACAGCTGAGGAGCCATAGACTTACCCTACCCATAACTTACGAAGGTGAGGAAGATCCTCAGCAGTTACGTGAGTCTCCTGATAGAGTGCTGTGTCCACACATAAACGCTTTAGGTGTCTTAAAATCTGCATGTGTTTGTTAGGGGAGCAAAGCCTCTTGACATTCCATGAAACCTTATTCAGGTGATCCCCATTGCCTGAAGGAGCCATGACAACTTATGCAAGGGTACATATAGTGAGCTAAGAGAGGCAACAGCCTTGGAAGACATTGCTCCCCCAAGCAGAGAACCACTGCTGAAGGGATAGAGAAGAGCAGTGAGACATATTGTATGGTTTATTTAACTGTTTACTGACAATAACGAAACCGGGCGGTCAAACCACCAATTATACATCTCTGACTTCACTTTCTTCCACATGGAGCCATCTCCTAGAAGCACCCGCCAGAAGCTTCTCCTTACTCAAGCAAAAGAAATGACAGTTTGGGAGGAAGAGGAGAGAGGAAAAGGAGTTAGGGGATGGAGGCAAGGAGAAGGAAATGGGGTTAATTAGTCAGACAGCAGAAATGGCTCCAGGGAGCAGGCCGAATGAGAAGTAAGAATCTAAGCAAAAACGGTGATGCAGTCGTTACGTAAACTTTAACACCTGTTCACAACTCTGTTCTGACTCTCGTGACTCTCCTTGTATCTGATTCGGCTTGTGACTTGACTATTCTTTGTATTCTCCTTTGATCTGACCCTCTGTTGCTGAACCCGGCTCGTGACCTGTGATTCTCGTCTGCTGTCCTGTACTGTTTTGTCCTGTTGTTGTTGACCCCGGCCTGTCTGACTACTCTTTTGTCTCTTCCACCAGCTACACGCCATTGGCGGCGGCCATTACCGCAGCTGAGGTGTTTCGGGGGCCGCGACCTGGTTCCTGGCTGCGTCAAGTCCATCCCCACCATCAGGGGCCCTGGTGAAGGGCAGCCTGGGACTTAGACTCCGCGCCCTGAGGGACTTCGGTCTGTGGGTGGTGGTTGTCGTCAGCCAGTGCGTTACATTGTTAGGCCTGCCTGCCCGTTCCGCGGCTCCTGCACTGACACTCCTGTAGGGAGGTATGGACCATGTCCCACATAGCTGTGAAGACATGATGTAACGTGTCTGGGATGAATTCTTTAGTGAGCTTTTAAAATTCGGCTGTGAACCCATTTGGGCCATGCGCTTTGGCAGTAGGGAGTAGTTTGATGGTTGTTAATATGTCCTCTGGGGTAATGGGGTCATTTAGCAATTTAAGTTGAGGAGAAAGTTTAGGCAGATGCACTCTAGCCAACAGAGCGGTGGCAACATCTTGGCAACATCTTCATCAATAAGGCCATCTGCGTAGAGAGATGAGTAATCAGTAATGCATTGATTTCCCAAGGCATGGTGGCAAGAGAGCCCGACTCAATTTTAAGAACAGCAATATAAGTGGGCATTCTGGGGCCTGAGCATAATTTGGCTAAGAGCTTGCCTGCCTTGTTACAAAACCTATAAAATTTGAGAGCAGGGTAAGATAATTTAGCTGCTTCCTGTTCTGCCCAGAAATCAAAGTTTTGTTTGGCATTGTGCCATGTTTGCCTGTTGGCTGAGGTGTGTTGATGTAAAAATGCTGGCTGCGCCTGTCTCAGGGATTCACTGGCCCATAGATGTTGTTGACAGGAATGTTTTTTAAATTGGGTGGTGAATGAGATAATTTTACCACTGAGAAAAGCCTTGCCTGCTTCCCAGAATAGATTAGGGTTGGTCAGGTGAGCTCAATTGGTGGTAGCATATTCAGCCCATGCCTGATATAGTGCATGTTTAAAATCTTCACTATTGGCAAGGTATGAGGGAAATCACCAGACTGATGGGTCACAGGATGGTTGTAATCCAGACAGCTCCACCAAAATAGGGCTATGATCAGAGATCACAATATCTCCAATTTGTGAGTTATGCAGTGATGGGAAAAGCGCTGGAGAGCAAAAAGAATTGTCAATGCATGAGAGAGAATTATGTTGGGGCGAGAAAAAAGAGAACTCCCAGTCAGTAGGGTGAGTCAGGCGCCAAGTCTCAAGGAAATGCATGGAAGCAATAGATTTGGCTAGGATGGTGGGGGTAGATATGGAAGGGGTTCCTTCTGGGGACCTAATGGAGAGATGGCCAGAGCAGTCCTCGAAGGGGTCCATGACTGAGTTAAAATCTCCTCCTAGTAAGTGTAGGGATTTTGGAACTAGGAGTACTGAGGAAACCAATTTTTGAAAAAAGGAGGTGCTAGGATAGGTGTTAGCTTAGATGTTGGTGGCAGCTATGTCTCTAGAAGCAATTGTTAGGTGTAATGTTAACCTACGACCATCCAAATCAGTCTCCATGGATCTAGTAGAGTATCTGAGGCGTTTGTGAAGTAGAATGGCTACCCCAGCCTTAAGGCATACAGCTGAGGAGCCATAGACTTACCCTACCCATAACTTACGAAGGTGAGGAAGATCCTCAGCAGTTACGTGAGTCTCCTGATAGAGTGCTGTGTCCACACATAAACGCTTTAGGTGTCTTAAAATCTGCATGTGTTTGTTAGGGGAGCAAAGCCTCTTGACATTCCATGAAACCTTATTCAGGTGATCCCCATTGCCTGAAGGAGCCATGACAACTTATGCAAGGGTACATATAGTGAGCTAAGAGAGGCAACAGCCTTGGAAGACATTGCTCCCCCAAGCAGAGAACCACTGCTGAAGGGATAGAGAAGAGCAGTGAGACATATTGTATGGTTTATTTAACTGTTTACTGACAATAATGAAACCGGGCGGTCAAACCACCAATTATACATCTCTGACTTCACTTTCTTCCACATGGAGCCATCTCCTAGAAGCACCCGCCAGAAGCTTCTTCTTACTCAAGCAAAAGAAATGACAGTTTGGGAGGAAGAGGAGAGAGGAAAAGGAGTTAAGGGGATGGAGGCAAGGAGAAGGAATGGGGTTAATTAGTCAGACAGCAGAAATGGCTCCAGGGAGCAGGCCGAATGAGAAGTAAGAATCTAAGCAAAAACGGTGATGCAGTCGTTATGTAAACTTTAACACCTGTTCACATCGGTGTGACTTGGTATGCGATTTGCATGCCATGCAACTTGCAAGTCGCATGCCAAGTTGCATTATATTGTCCACAATTGGAGCGGACATATCGGTGCGGTTCCGACTTGGTTGGAGCCACACCGATTTCAAAAGTTGTACATGCACTTTTGGTGTGATTTGCATAGACATCCTGTAGGGGCAGGAAGGGGTTAACATGAGGGGCGACCAAAGGGTTAACTGTGTGTAGGGAGTGTTTTACTAGGGGTGGTGTGTTGGTGCTTCACTGTAATCAAACTGCTCTGGATGGCTGTGCTGTGCACAGCCATCCAGAGCAGTGTGCCCGAGCTGACAGGGAAGAGAACTGTTAGTAAACAAGACAGTCATCCTCCCCATTGGTGATGCTTGGTAATTACCGGGCACCGGTGGGTAATCACCGGGCAGGACCCTGTGATTGACAGGCACCGCCGTGAATGGCGGCGCGGGTAGGATGCGTGCCCTCTAAACCAGAAATACAAAATCACGTGTATATATAAGTGATTTTGCGCATCCCTGACGCCCTGTAGCAGTATATCTGCTATAGGGCGGCGGAAAAAAGCAGTTAATCACCTTTCTAATAAACTTCTGTAAATCTATGAATGTACTAAAATATAGATAAAAATTAGGATCGTCTCGGAATCGTAATCCAGATAAACAATGTTACAGGCAGCATAACATTCTCCACGGCTTCTCCAGACCCTTTCATGTTTGCCACATGTGCTCATGGTGAACCTGCTCTCATCTGTGAAAAGCAATGGGCGCCAGTGGTGGACCTGGCAATTCTGGTGTTCAGTGGAAAATGCAAATCGAACTCTATGGTACTGGGCAATGAGCACAGGGCCCGCTAGAAGACGTCAGCCCTCAGGCCACCCTCATGAAGTCTGTTTCTGATTGGTCAGAGACATTCACACCTGTGGCCTGCTGGAGGTCATTTTGTAGGGCTTTGGCAGTGCTCATCCTGTTCCTTTTTTGCACAAAGAAGCAGATACCGGTCATGCTGATTGATTAAGGACCTTCTATGGTCCAATGCATCTCTCCTAGAGTAACTGCCTGTCTCCTGGAGTCTCTTCTATGCTCTTGAGACTGTGCTGGGAGGCACGGCAAACCTTCTGACAATTGCACATATTGATACACCATCCTGGAGGGAGTTGAACTGCCTGTGCAACCTCTGTAGGGTCCAGGTATCTCCTCATGCTACCAGTAGTGACACTGACCTTAGCCAAATGCAAAACTAGTGAAAAACCGTCAGAAAAGATGAGTAGGGAAAAAATGTCAGAGGCCTCCACCTGTAAAAAATCATTCCTGTTTTGGGAGTCTACTCATTGTTGCCCATCTAGTGCACTATTTGTTAATTTCATTAACACAAAAGCAGCTGAAACTGATTAACAACCCCCTCTGCTACTTAACTGACCAGATCAATATCCCAGGAGTTTGACTTGATCCTGTACTCTGATTAAAAAGTTTTACTTAAATTTTTTTTAGCAGTGTCAAATATATATATAAAATATTGGAACCCCTGCATTTCTGTCAGATAATGCACCACTTCGCCCAGAAAATTGTTGCAATTACAAATGTTTAGGCATTCTCATGTTTCTTTCTTTTGTTTGTTTAAAAATAATTGAAATCGCTTCCTGAGTTTCATACACCTCTCTACTGGGATTTTGGACCACTCTTCTTTCGCCAATTGCTCCAGATCTCTCAGAGTGGAAGGCTTCCTTTTCCCAACTGATATTTTGGGATCTCTCCACAGGTGCCCTATGGGATTGAGATCTGGACTCATTGCTGGTTCAGTGCTATATAGTGCTTTGTCTGAAATCAAACCTGAGTGCTTTTTTATGTGTGCTTTGGTTCATTGACCTGCTATAGGACCTCTGTTGGAGACCCAACTTTCTGACACTGGGTCCTACATTGCACCCCAGAATTCTTTGGTAATCTCAGATTTCATAATGCCATGCACATAGTCAAGACATCCAGTGCCTGAAGCAGCAAAGCAGCCCTAAAACAACAGTGAACCTCCACCATGTTTGACTGTAAGGACTGTATACTTTTCTTTAACCACTTGAGCTCCTGAGGATTTACCCCCCTTAATGACCAGGCCTCTTTTTGCTACTCGGCGCTGCACTAATTCAACTGATAATTGTGCGGTCATGCAATGCTGCACCTAAACGAAATTTACATCCTTTTTTTCACACAAATAGAGCTTTCTTTCGGTGGTATTTGATCACCTGTGCGCTTTTTATTTTTCACGCTATAAACAAAAAAAACCAAATATTTTGAAAAAAAAAAAACTATATTTTTTACTTTCAGCTTTAAAAAATATATAGTAAACTCAAAGTTACCGTATTTTCCGGCGTATAAGACGACTTTTCAACCCCTGAAAATCTTCTGAAAAGTCGAGGGTCGTCTTATACGCTGGTGCGAGCCGGTGTCAGGGCGGCACTTTTTCGAGGGGCTGGGGTGGGCAGAGGGGCTGCTGTACCTTACCTGGCCCCGGTCCCACAACGATCCGGTCCAGGAAGTGCGGCTGCTCCTTCTTTGAGTTCGCCCGCTCAATGGTCACGCGGCCGCTCGGCTCCGCCTCATTACCGGTGATTGGGCGCCAGCACTGGAAAGGCACACAGGCGACCAATCAGCGGCGAGGAGGCGGAGCCGAGCGGCCCCGCGAAAATCGAGCGGCTGAACTGGAAGAAGGAGCAGCCGCTCCTCTCCCCCACTGACACTAACGATGGGGCACTATTCCTCCTCCACACTGACACCAACGATGAAGCA